CGTATCATGTTCTGTCATACTATCACGGTATATCATGCTGAACGCTGGGAATCTGCATGATGTTTATCTAGGTGGTAGTTTTGGCATTTGGATGAGCTTGTTTGTTTGCTGCGCCTTTGACCTTTCCATTGTAAAAAGTGGACCTTACTGATACCTCTTTATATATGCCATGCTGCCATATGATGTCATATTGTAATGGTTGTCATACGGGGATCGCCTATCACGCGATTTCGTTTGTACCTCACTACCGTGTCTTCATTACTGATTTTTACTATTGAAATCTGGCGCAATAAACCAGGCTAAAAAGTTTGTTGTTGGGCCGAGAACATATATACATTTTACAATTTTTCTTTGTTCTATGAATAGGGAGCCTGTGTACCAATTATTTGATTACTGGACTTTGTTCTTTTAGCATACCGAACATTTTGTTGATTTATTTTTCCACTTTTCAGTCCGATGGTTTGAGCGGGCTACCACGACCTTGATCAGTCATACAAGGATGATATTCGCCTTCACTATCCTGGTCAATGTCCCATACGGTGCACAATCTCGTTCTCGTCGAACTCCATCCGCCGCGCCACGGACGCGCGCAGTTAGAGCGATTTTGACAGGCCGAGCATTATTTCGCCAGTTTGTCTGTGTTGGTGGTTGCGTTGGCAGGATCCGACGACATTCGAATTAATTACGGCCGTGTTGTTTGAAGCGCCGATCGGTCTACCGATTTATTAATCAAACAACTTTTTTTTCACCACTAGGAATCGAGCAACCCAATTAATTGTGTTTTCTTTTCTTCTTTTTAATAGGTCGTTTCGTGGGGCAAAAAATAGAGTGTTGAATTTAAAAAAGAATTGCCCCGAAATCGTTTGGGCTTTGACCCAAAAGCCCAAAGCCCCCCCCGCCGCCTTTTCGGCGCCGAAGGAAAAGCCCCCCGCCCCCGCCCTCCCCACCTTAAAAAATTATCCAAAAAGCCCCATATATAAGCCTGTTTTCAAAAAAAAAACTTTGGCCTTCGGCCGAGGCCTAAAGCCCACCCCCCCAAACGATTTCGGGGCAATTTCTTTTTGAAATTCAACACTCTATAATCATTTGATTTTAAAATCAATAATGAAGACACGGTACATAAGATACGCGCGTAGTGTCT